TGGATTGCATCATTTTATAGATGTTAAACAATTACTTAATTATAAGAAATAGACTAGTAGGCACAAGATTGGAGAGAAGCGCCATCTGTTACTCAAATTAGCAAACAATTGGAGACTACGATCATGGTGACCTCTATTAGTATAGATGAGAATTTATGACTACTGTGCAAATAGCTCAATGTTTTATCTGGGTAAGAAATTAAATTAATCATTATTACAATAAATATTTATACACAGACCTAAAATAAGAAGTCTCAAAGTCGGTTAAATAATTAAATACTACGAAAGGGCTGGTCACGCGAAACGGTCGAAAATTCGGTACCAACAAAATATCATTCTATTCATTTAAATACTATGAAGTATCGATACCTATTTATTGTAATTACTTGAAAAAACTATCGAAAAATTAAAAAAAAAAACTATCTTCAAAGAATTGTGCTGCAAAAAAATTCAGAACGCAGTTTTACGCAGCATTCTGTAAGGATAGCAAACTACAGAACTAAACAGAAAACTGTAGAGCTGTAGTTTAGACCAAGAAATATAACCGACTCAATAATTCCAGGTCTAGAGGTAACAGAACAGCCAGACGGGTTTGAAGGCCACAATGAATGTACGAAAATCCACACTTCTCCAACGAATAGAATATAGTGCGTGTAATTTTTAATGGTCACTTTTTTTTAATACCTACGCACTTCCTCTCTTCCACACAACTCACTCAGTCTCTCACATATACACGCACAAACACACGCACGCACGCATGCACGCCAATTTTGTTTTGATTATTTTTAGTGCGCCACATAGATACTACGCCCAAGGCTTCTATATTTTTGATCGACGGTAGAAAAACACTAATCCTTCATACTACACCTATTCAGCGAATACTCCCCAACCCCCCTCCCCCCACAAAATAATCGCCATCTATCGCTCGTTATACCAAAAAAAGCGCTTTACGAAATTGGTCGTCGCGTGGTAACGGCACGGAGAGCGCTGCGCTTTACGGCGAAAAATTGGGCACTCGCTAATAATGGGCTCGCTTCGAGTGCTGCCAATTAGAGACCACTTGCTGACCTCTGACACCCTCTGGCTCTGTCCCAATGGACGTTCATTGCCTTCGTTACCGGTCTTTTACGGACCCCGCCGATTGGCGGATAAATCCGCGATAAAGAGTTGTTTAAAAACTTTGGTTGCATGTACGGAAATCGTCGTAAACAACACCAGAACTTTACGATTCGATACAACTGTATATTGGTAACAATTGATCTTGTATTTTTCGACAGTTTTGAAAAAAACTAATGGTCATCTTCTTGCGCTATCAAAATTTTTAATTATCACTACATAGAACAAAACAAAGTTGTCCCGCTGTCTGTTTGTCCCTATATATGCTTAGATCTTTAAAACTACGCATCGGATTTTGATGCAGTTTTTTTAATATATAGAGTGATCCAAGAAGGTTATATGTGTAACAAATTGCATCCGCGCGAAGCGGTTACTTACTCTAATAAATCACTACCAATATAGTGATTGTAAAAAGTTCTATATCAACTTATAATTATCAACACTTCGCAATAAACTAACAAAGAGAAATTGAAAAATAAAGCAATGATACACAGATATTGCCTTAATGGCTTTAGTCCAGACAAATAATCACCATTGGCATAAACGAAATAAAAAACGGCAGCATAAATTCGTCCGAGTGGCTCATTTATATCCCGGTACAAGGTTTAATACTCAACTGAAGTATTCGGCCGCCCGTTGGATCCGAATCTACACGTAGACGGCTTAAATAATACCGGGATGAACGGAAATATATATCCCGGGAAACCCGAAAACGCAAGGAAGGAAATGCGTTAATTACCCGACTAAACTAAATTACGGAAGACATGTCACTAAGTACTTTGTCGGGCCACTAAACAGGAGGAAGTAGTAGGGCGAAAATAAATTGTACATCTGACTCATAAAAAAAAAATTATATATTATTAAATTATACAAAAGAACGTTGAGAACACTTTAGAAATATATACTTACTAATTTCAATTTAAGATTCACACTCACATGGGAAATGAAACTTTACGTATCCTTCTAGTTTAATTTTTATTATTACTTCAGAAGTTGATGCAACAGAAGTGACAGAAACGGATGCCTAAATAAAATCAAAGCGGAAACGGAAACAGAAACGGAAATGTTCAATGTGATGAAAAAAAAAAACTTTATTAGGGCCACACAACAGTTTCAGCTGTTACACAAATGGGCAGGTCCATCCTGGTAAATACCATGACATGATTTTCGTTTCGCCACTTTATTAAAAGGTGGCAATGCATCTGCAACCCTACGGGTGTTGCGAATGTCCATGGGCGGTGGTTACCACTCAACACCAGAACCGCCCGCTCGCTTGCCACCCTTTCACGTAAAAAATACTACTTTTAATTACTCAAATCATTTTTTAATATTCATAATTAAGCGGCGGTGATCTAAATTTCATGAGACCAGTATGACCGCTTTTATCCAGCATCTTGTTGGATAAAACTTTCAGTGGTCAATTTGTACCGAAGCCGCAGTGTCTGTGTACCATCCCTTCATAATATGCTGATCGTATGTCCGTTTAAAAGTCTCTGACACAGAAGTAGAAAATTGCAAAAGCTACGAAAATAGAAGCAGAGGTCTGTTGCATCTTTAATAAGGGACCATCAGTCATCAGAACGTTTTAAGGCTTGCTAAAACGTTAACCGACGAAGCGTCGAACATACAATACATGTTTTGCTTGTGACATGAAAGCTTTTGCATGAAATTCATAATAAAAAAGAAACACAATGAAGTCCGTAAAATAATTTTAATTTGCTATATAGATACAGCTCGCGTCGAGAATTCATAATCAAAAATACCCGAAAGTCCGTAAAGTAGTTTTAATTTAACAATACAAATACATTTATTACATGTCGCTTTTCTGAGGCCGTACTCATGTGGCATACTCGTGCCGAGAGGTGTTATGTAGGTAAGGTCTTATAGCTCTAATTATGGTGGTTTGTTTTTATAAAAAAAACAGTCAAAACTACTGGTGGCTGAGCTGATTGTAATTGATCTCATTCGCTATGGACATTCAGAAGACCAGAAAAGATACTTTAATTAATGCGTTGTCAACCTAAGTCCGGGATGGATCTTCTTCTTGAAGATCCTTAATTTTCATTCTAAAAAGTTAGATGCGGTATCATCCTTTAAAATCACCCCCAATTTCACGATAGTCTATACTATTTTTATGACACCGAGGAACACTGAGAGACTAGAGGCAGGCTCAAGCTCTGGTTGGATGGCGTCGAACAGGACACCAAGATGTTGGGGGTTATAGGCTGGAGAAACAAAGCCATGAATAGATTGGACTGGAGAGATTTGCTTGACCAGGCTAAGGCCCATCCGCGGCTGTAATGCCTCAGATGATGATGAGGTGTTCCTCATCATCTGAGGTATCTTCTCATGTTTGAAACCACCAGAACATTTTTTTATTCTTTAAGCTTAAATTTAATCTACTTTTAGTTTTTTTTTGTTACAGCATAGTTTTAAATTTGAATTTTATTGTGCTCCTTTTGTTTCTACTGCAGTATGTATTACTATAATAATTTATATATAGTCGAATTTATCTTTTTTGTTTCCTTTTCTCGGTTAATCAATATATTTTCCCTTCTTTCAATTTAAATGAATCGCTCGTTTCGTCACCACAGTCCGAAGGATTCATTCCCCTGGAGACGGAACGCAACGGATCCTGATTTATGTGGAATCCATATAAATGCAATCTCCTTAATTGGCCCTAAGCGATAAGGTATTGCGGATGCCTAGGTGTTCGCCCCACGGCCCCGCCCGGCAGGACGCGTTACAAAGTAAGTACGCGGTACGAAATCTTATTTACGAATGGAGCAATTAAAAACAAATGAAATTACTTTATTCAAAGAAGCCTAGTTAATTAATTAATTGTAAATAAATGACGAACGATGCTACGATTAACCTTTAGTTTATTTATGAACTTAATTATTTAAAAAGACGTGATGACTCCGTGGCGCATAGGCCAAGGTTTTGGCTTCGGCTTCGGGGGTCGTGGGTTCGATTCCTACACGGGACAACTATTTGTGCGATCTACAAATAGATGTTTCGCATCTGAATGTTTTTGTGCGTGAAATTTATGTTTGTAAATGTCCTAACAACACAGGATAATGTTATCCTAATGTAAGGGCAACGTTTTTAAAAGAAACAGAAGAAAGAAAGAAAAGGTTTTTTACATTACAATAATCGTTTTCTAATTTGCGTATTTTGTGATAGTTTGATGTACATACTTATGTATTTTTGAAGCTTGATTTCTTTATATAATAAGGATATGTTAAGCAAAAATTTATCTCAAAAGATTACGGAGTGCAGCTGTCTGTATATTCGCTTCATAACTAAGGTTCAGGCTTGACGGGACATTAAGTTTTATCCTTTTATACGGGGCGCATTCTTCTCTACGTTACCTAGTAGTTATTTCAATCCCGTCCTCCGTATACGCTGTCTGGAAATTTGTTTTAATATTTTCTATATTAACATTGTTTTGTGATAACTTTTGTTATATTTGCTGGATTTCTTCATAAAATACTGTAGTGTTGTTGTTTTTATGTTAATATTTAACATCGATCTTTATTCATTATTATTATTTAATACATTTTATTTTAAACTGTCTATTAACAGTGTTTTTACTGTTGTAAATTTAATTTAATTACTTCGGCCGCCTATCCGTCGCTCACAAAATCAGCGATTAAATAGAAATCAATTATCGTTTGTGGAGTTCGGTATTAACGGTTCTGATTGACAAGTAGGCGAGTTTAATAGTTTAGCGCTAATTGACTCCTCTGGGCTCGTCTGACTCCAATCGGCAATTGATAATCTGCAATTGATCAGGCGGGTGTCCATTGACACACGTCAATCCGATCACGCGCGAGTTCGTTAGCGCTCGCAACCATTTGGCTTTCAGTCCGGTGAGTTTAAGCGGGGTCGCGCTTAAAGCCGCACGTTGCGCTTTTATAGCGGCACTCCCGTAGCCGGTCCATAAAGCGCGGCGTCCGCACCGGATTTTTAAAGCGCCATTTTCGCTGCGGTGGCGCGCGATTGCGTCCAAAGGTTTTATGTCCCGGCAATGACGTTGCAGAATATTCCGAGTCGATGTTCCGGTAAGTGTTTTGCGACGAGCACGCGAATATCACGAGGCAAGACAAGTCTTTTGTTATGAGTTCACCTTTCAGCATAGCTAAGACATTTATTATCACATTAATTACGAATTTTAGAACCGAAGATCATACAATAACTTCATAATTATAACCAGTGATGCACAAGATACCCTATACAAAGTATCTGAAATACAAAATACGAGATACTTTTAATTAAACTTTCTGGGATTCTATCTAAAATACTAGATACAAAATAGGTATCTTTCAAATACTTTCAAAGATAAAATACTTTTCTAAGAAAACAACATTTTATTGAATGTAATTTTTTTACATGAATTATTTATGAATAAAGTTTATTATGTTTTTAAGGTTTTAATTGAGACTTGAGTAAAATTAGTTCTTCAAACATTTTTTCAATCATACCTCCAAAAGAAAAGAGTCGCACAGGAGCAGAACTTGGCAAACAAGTGTTATATTAGAAAAATATTTTTTTTTATTGTAGGATAAGCACTCTTTAAGTTGATATCTTTATTATTTAGGTACTGCAATGTTTCTAAATCAGCAGTGCTGCCAGTAGACCCTGTCTTTTCGCCATTTGAAATAGAGGAACCCGATTCCTCTAAAAACATGTAATAAGATTCATCTTTTTACTTTTTTTTATATATCATCTTCAATATTTTCCAAAGCTCGATCGATTAATTTTACGTGTCTCTTGTATGGTCTGTGTATCTGGCTAAGGTCTTTAACATATTTGTTCTGAGCTTTTGGTACCCATTTCATTTTAAAAAACGAATGTGATACTGAGGCTAAAACTGCAGGCTCAGTGTTCCATTGACGTCTGTCGAGTTGGGGGTTGATATTTCTTAGACAAGTTACATTATTATAAACACACACGCAAAGTTTCAACATGCGGAAACGAGTACGGCGAGTAAAAATATTAAACCGAATTTTTTTTTTGGGCTGGATGAGCCACTGTTGGCCTTAGGGGCCTTTACAGTTCCGACGGGCTTGAGGTGGCCTGGCGCACGAGGCGCCTAGCCTGAACCTCGGAAAATATTAATTCGATTTGAACTTTTGCTTACACCACATCTTATAGTACTACATTAAGGTATTGTTGCAAATCGATTTACCTAAAGTTTCAGAACGCCGTAAACGGCGTGTTCCCTTTTATCTACGGTGACATTATAATTTAATATCACCATAAAATCTTGTCATATTTTGTGAATAAATGCATTGATAACTATTACTAAAAGTATTTTAACAAACATATTATTTAGAAGATACTAAGATAGCAAACAAAAGGTATTTAAATACAAGATATAAATACGTATTTTGTATCTTGTATCTGTTTCAGATACTTGTATCTTAATTAAATCACATCTCTGATACTTTTATCTATGCTTCTATATCTATACTTTTTATGTTTATTATATTATGATGTTATAAAGAGGAAAGATTTGTATTTTTGTATGTTTGTAGCAAATAGACACTAAAACCCGTGGACACATTTCAAAAATTCTGTCTGTCATCAGGCTGTATCTCATGAATCTTTATAATTAGACGGTTGAAATTTTCACAGATTTTGTATTTATATCGCCGCTGTAACATCGAATACTAAAAAACAAAATAAAATAAAAAATATATAAGGGGGCTCCCATACAAAAAATGCGTTTTATTCTATACCAATTAGTTTATTCTAGGTAATGGCAAGGATGCAGTGACGACGAAGGTCGATGGATGCAGGTGGCTCATGATCTTACTTCGTTGCAGTCTGTGGGAGAGGCCTATGTTCAGCAGGGGACTCAAAAAGGCCGAAAATAAATGATGATGACGATGAATGGTACACTTCGTGTGCGAATTGCACTTGACCGGTTTTTAATAATACGCAGTGTTTTTCTTAAATCAAAAAAATATAGACTTGCACCACTTATGTTTCAATTACGTAAATCCCCTCCACGGCCAAATGTCCGCGTATTATTTCTCGCTGCGTTTATTTCAGTTTCAGCATTCTACGGCGGCCGCGTTCATTTGTACCTCGTTAGTTGTAATTTACTCGCGTTTGTTAGCTTACCTCATTTAAATTTCGCGCATTTGAGCGCCGCGGTGGGTTTGAGCGGGGAGTTTTAGTTTTATTCTGTTTGTTGTAATACCGTTAGCGTTTGAGACGGAGCGTTGTAGGATTAACTTCGGAATGGGGCTTAAAATGTTTGTGTAACGTATATATTCAATTTTGATGCTCATTAATTAGGTGTCCATGGTTAAGTGTGCTGAGGCAGAGGAGAGGAGGTGGTGCAACAGGACATCCTGAAATCCACGAGTTAGTTGCAGTTTCAAGACTTCGTTCTGGGCACTATCCATCGGCAAAATTTTCTTTCTTAATGGGGAAGGCTGCTTCACCCTATTGTGAGGTATGCAATAAAATTGAAGATGTGTATCAAATGCTGATGGACTGTGAAAGGAACAGAAATAAAAGGGAACTGCTGTTTAAAGATCTGAATGTAAATTTATTAGATGTTGGTCTTATATTTAATATATTGTCGAATCCCAAAAGTGAAACAATAAAACGTATTTGCGGTCTTGTTCAAATCAACAAACAGTAATTACCGGTTTAACAAATCTATATACTTTTAAGGATTCGTATTTCGTAAGTTGTTGTGATATGTATAAGTTACGATGGGGTTGGCGTATCTTTATAGATAAAAACTCCATAAAATTAAAGATAATAAAAAAAAAAAAGAGTTAGTTGCAGTTGCCCTTGAGACCGTTAAAAATGTGGAACTTATTTAGTACAAAGGCGTACTAATAAAGTATGAATTGCTGCGCGTATAGCTTAGTGGAACTTGCTAAATGTCATTTGATCTTCCAGTCGCTGACGTCGATATGATCTTGCCCTCTGTACAGAGGGTATTTGGGCATAGTCCACCAGGCGACCCCACAGCGGATTGGCGGTCTTCGAAATTTAATGGAATATTGTTTCTGCAAATGCTAAAAGAAGTCAGCGCTTTAAATTAACTTGTAGATTAAAAATAGGTTGCTCAAGCATATTGAATTCACTTTTATATTAAATTTACTTTTATATTCAATTTACTTTGTAGTTATCGTTTTATTTATTTTTTATTTTTTTCATTTTAGTCACTTTATTTTTGTTATTAGCAATGAGTCTTCACGATGCAACTAAACACCTATCGCAAATCTGGCAGCTCTGGCTTCAAGATACAAGCACTGCTTAGTTTGGGATCCATTGTTAATGTTTCGCAGTTTGAGGTTAGTTACAAAATTTTGTATTAATCTTCATTACTATTTTCTTATTTTTAAGACATGTGTTGTAACTTACTTTTGCATCTACTTAGATAAATAAATAAATAAAAATAAAATAAATTGAATTAAATGCGAGAGCACGCAAGCATCAAACCGACATCGCTTGTTAAAATATTTACGTCCGAGTATTAGACACACATAGCGACTGCGTTCACGAAGAATCGTAGTTTACTCGAACGTTAAATTATCCCACTCAACGCTGTCGGTGTACCAATAACACAGCAAATATCGTTTGTGTAACGAGAAGGAAAGCGGTTATTGCAGCGTGGCGTGTTTAAGTTTCATAGTGAATTGTTTACACCGAAGGGTAAACTTTAAAAAGCCATTGGAAAACAACGGCGCTGTTTGATAACTCTAAATAGGAGCAGAGGTCGAAGGAATGTAAACTGAAACGAGTTTCAATTAGTTGAGAACGCGCCGTTATGCGATACATACACGCTCGGTGCCAGTATTCTTTTATTTATTGAATTTAAGCAATTATCCAATGCTTTTTCAAAAACGGATGAGGTTCTCAGTTCGACCATTTTTTTTTATGTTTGTTACCTCAGAACTTTGAACTGAGTGAATCGACTTTGTAAATTACTTTTTTATTTGAAAGCTGGTGCTTCCCAAGTAGGCCCATATTATTTTAATTGGTATTGGATCTTGGGCTCCGGACAAACGTAGAGAACTGAAAATCACTTATAAAATGAATGCAGAGCGAGATATTTGAAGTAGCTTTTGTTTTTCGTCCAAAATAAAAATTCAAAATTCAAAATACTTTTGTTCACATAGACGCTTGCGCGTTGTTATGAAACGTCGAAATTTTACAAGGAAATTAATATGTTCGTAAGTTACCACCGGTTCGGAAAGCAGTTTCTGTTGAGAAGAAACCGCCAAGAAACTCCATAGTTGCTCTTTTTTTTTAAAGATTAGTTTACAATATAATAGGATAGGTATAAATCTTACTTTAGCCTACGTGAGTATCAACAGTATTAACCCCACACATTGTCGTCGTCAAGATATTCCGCAATGGAATAATACGCCTTAGCCATAAGTTCCCTTTTAATTTTGCGTTTAAATTGATCAAGTGGCAGACTTAATATCGACTGTGGGATTTTATTATACATGCGCAAACTTTGCCCCATGAACGAACTATTTACTTTTTGTAGAAGAAACAATGGCGTAATTTGTCCTTATGTCTAGTATTTAATTTATGTCTGTCTAGAAGACAAAATTATACAATAAATATATTGGGACGTGAAAATATTAATCTCTTTAAAAATATCTCCGAGTGTATTCCGGGCTCCGATGTTATAGACTGCTCGGACAGCTTAATAACAAAATTGGCTTGTGTTAAATAAAATTTTATTCATTGGTTACGTTCCTTGAAAGTTTATTAATATGTAATGAGAGTCGAGAATTGAATAACTGTTTAAAAATGCTACATAAAAGTCTGAACTGAAAACTATACTGTGGTGGGGCCACGCTGTTGCACGAATGGGCAGGTCCTTCTGGAGAAGTACCACGACCTCACAGAAGTGTAATACCTCTGCGTTTCGTCTGGTGAGTGAGGTAGCCGAGCCGGACTTATTAAAAGGTGGTAACGCATCTGCAACCTTACGGGTGTTGCAAATGTCCATGGGCGGCAGCTACCACTTAACATCAGGTGAACCGCCAGCTCTCTTGCCACCTTCTCGCATAAAAAAAGGTTTGTTAGAGTGAACACAAACCAAGAACAAATGCACATAGTGCATTCATTAATTTTTAATTAACGAATC